CTGGAATGGGGACCGCAGCCTCAGCAGGCAGGTCAGCTCACCCACCCAGCCCCTGTGGCAGCACCTTCAGGTACAGGAGGTGAAAAGTGCTGGGGGGCAGAGCCCCCCTGGGGCTTGTGAGTGCAGATCAGACCTGGGGGAGCAGGAACCCCCTCCACCTGCTCTTGGAGAGGCTCATTCAGGACGTTTGACCCATCTTGGTGGAGTTTTCTTGCTTGGCTTTAGCATCCCCATGCATGGTTGCCTTGGGCACAAAGCGCCCTGGGGCAGAGGGGGCCCAGCAGAGCCACCCTGGGGGGCACAGAGACAGACCTGCAGCTCCAGTGGGGTCTCAGCTCTTCCCCCATAAGACAAGTGTTCCTGCCAAAGGGCAAGGTCAGCTATGGAAACCACTGGAGTGAAGGGTTGAGGAAAAGCCCTAGCAATGACCGAGTAGCTGGGACTGCTTTACCCAGGCTCAGATAGCAAAGACAAAGGGCCTGTTAGCTCCTGTTTATTCTTTTGTAGCCTTTGCCTTTTCCTCCTACAAATCCTCCCTAAAGGAGACACTGTAATTTATTAGCCCCGTGCACTAACAGCCCAAATGTGAGATAACCCCTTTGTCCCACCACGTTTAGTGGATACTTGATTCCTACTCAGGAGGGTGATAACGTGTGTAAATATTTGGTGTCCCACTGAGCAAAATTTGGTTTACAAGCTCCAGTTGCTGCTGCCCTTGCAGGTGTCAGCGGGCAGAGCCCCAGCTCCTGGGCTCCCAAAGCCCTTCTGGGGGCAAAGAACAGGAGCTGCAGGTTGGCAGCGATTTGAGCCCAGAACTAACTCCCCCTTCTCCACCTCCTGGATGGTGTTATGGTCCCCCTGAGGACTGTGGGGTCCAGCTGGGTTTGTGAGGACCAAGACCCCTCAGATAACCCCAGTGTGGGAAGCCCTGGGTGGAGCTGTGCCCTGCTCCTCCCTGCCTGCAAGGGAGGACTCCTGGCTGCCCATGGCATCGCTCCCTGCTCCAGCAGCTCATCCCAGGGCAGCCTTGCCCCAGCTTTTGCAGCCCCAGCTGTCTCCCCAGTTGGATTTTTAAATTAGTGCTAATGAAAATGCTGGGAATGCCTGTGGCTCCAGCATATTTTATTTTTTTTCCCCTTCTGTGGGTTCTCCCATCCCTGGCTGAGCAGAGTCGCTGGCGCTCTGTGCACATGGGGAGTTTTGGACAAAAGGAAACTGTTGTTTTGTCTTCCAGACATTTTTTTTCTTCCAATTTCTTTTTTTTTACCAGTTCTGGTGGAAAATGGAGTTTTGGCTGTGCCCTCAGGAAAGGCTGTATTATTTCATCCCTCCAGCTGATAGCTAGCTAAAGAAATGTAAGTAATGAACGTGCAAAGCAAGGTCTGAGTACAGGACGACAAGAAAACCTACAGGCAGAGCAATTTACTGTCACCCTCTCCAGACACACATGCACACACCTTTCCTGGCCCAGCCCCTGGCCAGATCCTTATTAACATTTTAAATAACAAAATTACATTGTACATTGGAGGCTAAGGACAAAATAAGTGGCTTTTGTTTGTTTTCCCCTCTCCCTCACGCATGGGGAAAAAAAAAACCTTAAAAAAAATAGCAGGCCATTTTCCCAAGCTTCTCAAATGTTTTGTTTGTTTGTTTCCCATGATGTTTCTTCAGTCAGAAGTTAGGTGAGCATGAAATGGGAGCCCAGAGCTCCCAGGAGCAGGGTATGAACAGCGGGGTGGGAAAATATGAGAGAATGATTCTAACCCGCTGGAATGAGTAATGTCAGAGGGTTAATGTGTGTGTCCCAGGGCACAGGGAAGGGCCAGGAGCTGGGGTGGGAGCCTGCCTGGCCTGAGGTGGCCAAACCCTGTTGTCACCAGAGCAAACCTGGTCCCTTGCAGCCACACCAGCCCAGGAGGGCTGAGCGGGTCCCGCGAGCACCTCTGGGTCTTGATCCTGAAATAACTGGGGTTACAAGTGACATGATCTCACCTGCCAAGAGCTGTGGCCCTGCCTGGCCCTGCTGCTCCAGCTGTGCACACCACTGTCCTGTGTACACACAGAAACACGGTTGGATTGTCCCCTCAGCACCCTGGTGTCCGGGCACAGACACTTTGAAACCCACTTTCTGGTTCCTTCATTGCCTTCTTTCATCCTCAGCTTGTCCTACAGCAGCAAAACTAGATCCAAGTGGCCAGGACACACATACTGTGAATGTTCTCTGGTGTGATTCATTTGCAGAATACCAATAATATATTTAACTCGTGTTGTACAAACAAAAGATGCATTTTAAAAGCAATGATTTTAAAAGATTTATTCCAAAAGAAGCAATGATTTTTTTTTTATATATATATAGGAAGTTTTTCTGGAATAAATGGAAAGGTACAAGAAAGAATTTAAAAAATAATAAAAGATTGTGTCCATCTATCCATCTCGTGTCTGAATGTTTGGTAAGAATATTTCAATTTTTGCATTTTGGATGTGACAGGGACTGTTTTGTGGATGTGCTCACTTTATTGCTAAGGCTCCTATCACAGCTGGGTGGTGAACTCCCCAAAGCCAAGCCTGGACAATAAACTTTATTGAACACAGGACAGTTTTCTGCAGGTTATAATTTTTCTCTATTTTTTTTTGTTGTTGTTGCTAGGAGCAGGATCCTCTCGGGTTTGCATTTCAGCTCTTAGCCCTGATGTCTCAGGCACACGGGACCCTCTGGATGGATCCTGAGTGGTGAGTTGATCCGTGCTGGGTGTGCAGGGAAGGCACAGGCTGCTGGACCTTGGCAGGGAGTGAGCTGGGCTGGGCTGTGCATTACTATGCTGGGCTGTTCTGTGCTATGCTGGGCTGTTCTGGGCTATGCTGGGCTGTTCTGGGCT